TTTGTGATTTATTTAACTTGTTTTAAATGTGACATAAACAATGTTGACTGACAAATTCTGCTCAAAGTTTATAAATAAAGATGCTTCTTTAAAACAAAATCTGGCAAAGACAAGCCTGGCTTAGGCCCAACAGAAGAAGTTTACATTCAGCTCGTGATCTGCTGAGCTAGCTGCCCAGTTGATCCAAATAGAAGATGAAACATCCTATAACTGTTTATCTAAATCACTGATAAACTGTAGCTCATTTATTTGCCATTTAATTCTCATAAACATATAGGTGAGAAAACCTATGTTAGTGCAATTTTTGCATCTAGTGCTGAGCCTATGTCCTGAAGTCTTGGTCACCTCGTGATTCACTGCAACTGGGGTGGTCATATATCCTCTTTAACCCAGTGTTTCTCATTTTCTTTGCTTGGAAATCAAGGTGCCTGGTAGGGCAAGAGCGTCCTTCTGGCTCCCCAGCATTGAGGTGGGACCCAGAAGATGAAAAGAGCTCCCAGTTCAAGGCTAGTAGCCGTGGGAACTAAGTGCTTGTGTGAGCATATCAGAAGTCAAAGGGACTTGAAAAGCAAAGGAGAGAAAGCAGGGACAGCTGTGAGACAGCTAAGGTCCAGAGAGGCTAACTTGAGATAGTGGCTTGCTACATGGTTCATAAAAGCAGCTTTATGGAGAGGAAGAAAATGACTGTAAGAAGCATTGGTACCTAAGAAGACATTGGTGCAAATTGTACAGCATCCCCAAGATTAGTGGGGAACTGAGGAAGGGATTCAGTATTTCTTATTTATCTTCATCTCTGAAATTAGTACTGTGTTAGAAATGTTCTGCACAACTATTTGCTACCACCAGCAAGCATTTAAAAAGAGTAGAGAAAAAATATAAAGTTCATGAGGCTTCAGCATCTGGATGGACACCATCAAAGTAGCAAAAGATGTCTGAGCTTTTGGCAATACTCCTGCAGGTGATGAAAAGCTCCTGCTCTAGCAGTTTGTGCTGGATGGGTTACCATTTCTCTGTATCTGATCCTTACATAAAAATTTCCCCCAAACCAAAGGCAAGTGCATGGCTGGGCTCTGTCTGACTGGCAATCCAAAGCATTGTGTCCAGCATGTAGGAATCAATGCAAACAGTATGCAAATGGCCAGCGGTGACATTTTGACAGAAGCATCGTGTGTGTGTGTGTGTGCGCACACATGGTCTTGCAGAAACAAGTGTCCACACACATGTTAACCTTCAGTCACTCATGAAAAGTAGCTCTACTGCTCCCCAGGACTGTAACTGGAGCTGTGCAGCATTAAAGTCTTCCAAAACGTTCCTACTTTCTCGATAGTGTTCATTTCAATGTGATTACTTTCCTGAAACCCTGTCTTGACTGTGACATCATGCACCTGCAGACCAGTCAGTTTGTATTGCCAATTATAATGATGACATGGTTTCATTTTGGTCTGTTGCTGATGGATTTCACCTAGGGTTGCTTTGTTTATCCTGCTTAATATCCAGCCATTTATTAGCATGCATATTCCTGCATCCTGATAGTCAGAAACACTTAAACTTCTACAGCTGAGATATTGTCATTACTGCTTATCACAAGCATCACTGGTCACAGGTTTACAGTCTTACAGCTGAAGCAGCAATCCTGACACTAAACTCCCCGTAGACAAAGGGAGAAACATTGCTTGGTCTCCACATGTTTGGTAATGCAAGGCTGCTTGTTTGTCACTTGGATGCCACATCACAGAATTGAAATCCCAAAAGGACTGCTGGGTGACCTTGCCTGCTTTTGGCAGAGCACAGGTTGTTTCATATGAGCCCATCAGATCCTGCCTGAAGAGGCTGGGCCTGAGTGTATTTTACACAGTATAAAGATTTCTGGGTAAGACAGAAATCCACCAAAAATCTCTTGTCAATTATTTCCTTGAATTTTGCATAGATAAGCAGATTTTTCAGGGCATCTTCACATCCACACTTTCACAGTGGATATCTCTTTGGTTCACTGATGCTTGCATTCCTCCCCACGAATCTTCTATTTCTCAGCTACCTCACTAATTCCAGTGGTTTTGATCACCATCTTTGCACAGATGGTCCCCAGGTCTCTCCATCCCTAATGTTCCCCCTCTGGTCTTTGTGAATCTTTAAATATCTCTAGACCTACTCACTTGGAAGCCTTACTTCTATTTCCAGTGCAGTCTTTCCAAAAGTGAATTCCTGCCCCCTTGTCCTCTGATATGGCTGAGGCTCTACCTCCTCTAAAGTACCTTTGGTTTTTCGTTTGTTTTTCCTCTTGTTTGCAAACAGTGAGGTGCAGGAGCCGTTTCTGGGGTGAGAGTCTTCTTGCTCCATGATAAGTGTCCAAAACAGGCCAGATCCTAGTACCCTGAAGGTCCACTTGCCTCCATTGGCAATAAGGGGATCCCCAAGGGCAGTGCGAGGAGGCTGATTTTTAGTGATGTGAGGGGGCCCTGTATGTTTCACCATGAAGTGGGCAGCTGCTTACCCAGTGGACAAAATCCTTTAGCAGCCCTCTTGCCAGACCAGGACAGGCCTTATTTATTCTCCCCATTATGTGTTTTTAGCACCCTGTACTTTCATATAACAGTAAGATTTATAACAGTCATTTACTTACCTCCATACCGCCTAATCTCACTTGCTCATATTCGTAATTTTAGGGGCATACTCACAAATTTCTACACGAATGTTGAAAGGTGTCACACCTTGTATAACCTCTGTAGCTAAAATAGAATTTAACGTGAATTAAATCTTAAAAATCAAAGCCTTTCTCCAGAGGTATCTAATACAGTCCAGCAATGCCAATTCCCACTCTTGCTTATAACTGTGCCATAACTGCACATTACAGCACAAATTTCTGATGTATTTCTTGAAATGTAACCATGTATGTGGAAAAAATTTATCTGTCTTCTGGTGGCAAAATCCATTTCTACTTTGCTATATAGTAATATTTATCAGCAATGCAGACATTTATTTCATTTACCATCTTTCCGCCCCTGCTTCATAGCTGCTTTCACTGGAGTGCAGGACCCAGTAAAGTAATAACATTCATTTTGCTCTTCCATCACTCACAGTGTCCTGCAGTGCATTTGATTTTGTGCTCACTACTGGTGATGATGATGGACTCTCACCTTGCAGATTGTCTCAAGTGATGGCCCCCAAAAGTACAAACACTGTGGGAGCAATTTGGATTCCTAAATACAAGTCTCTAGGAGGGAGGAACTGTTTGTTTGGAGACCTGCAGGTATTCAAGACATCTGTACAGGGCTTGCAGATATGACATAACATCTACGCTGAGACCTATGTCCTTCTGGAGCAGGGGTTGGAGGTCAGGGAGGCAACTTCAGGACATCATAAACAGCACTGAATGATTCTGTTTAGCAGCCTGAGTTGTTCCCTGGTAGTATCAACTCCCTCTGCCATCTGGTCTTCACTGTCAGGGTCCACTTCTCATGCCCACTCAGCCATCAGCTTCTGGGGGACTGGTTTCAAACAATAGTATGAGTTTCCAGAGGCCGACAGGCTGCCTCCCAGGAACCAAGTTTAATTCACATCAGCCACCAGGCAAGCAGTGGGATACTGCCACTATTGCAATTTACAGAAAACTGGAGATTAGAAAGTTCTCCTACCTTTTTATGTCCCCAAAATGTTACACACTAAAATAGTGACATGAAAATTGAAATTTGCAATGGGGATTTCATTAGTAGCACTGAAAGGGGTACAAAAGGTGATCAAACACAGTCCTGTTGCAAGGCGTATGTATAGTTTTACCTTGTTCTTTATGATATTTAATTTAGTCTTAAGTTTTTTTCAAATACTCCAGATGTATACAAAATATACATATACATGTATATCATATATAAAACTTCAAGAGACAACCAGAAGTATCGATAAATTCAGTGTTGAAGTGAATGGCTCTAAAAAAAAGTGCAAAATTGGGTAGGATGAAATGAGGATAAATTCCAGAGAGGTACTGTTTACTGCAGACTCAAACAGCCTTCCTTCACTATGTTGGTTTTTAAACAGTAGCTGTGAACAATTAGAAAATTATTAGGAAGAATTTAGAAAATAAAATAAACTCAAACCTTGAGAATTTCTCAAGACCAGTTGACTTTGTTGAAAAAATGCCCTTTTTTCATGTAACCTGCCCAGTCAAGGCCATTCCATCCTAATTTGCCATGGCATGGTCTCCTCTTTCAACCAGACTCACATCCAGGGTTGTGGCATATTTGCTTTATGTTGGGAATCAAGAACTGTGAAGAAGTTTTGGTCTGGTAAAATAGTCATGGAACAAACAGGGATCCAAAACACTATTTGAAAGAGGAGACCTAACAGGGGGCCTGAGTTACATTGTAAAAGAGGTTTCCATGTATCCTCCTTATTCACATCTATCCATGCTCCCCCATGTTCCCATCCCTGTCCTAGTTCATTGTACCTACACATATACATGAGATAGTGTGGCTGAAAATGCAATTGGCTCCTCGTATGGTCCACGAACCCAGAGGAGATGTAAGGATATATATATGAAGCCAATGGTGAAACAACAGACTGCAGCTTCTTATTCTTACCCATGGTAGCTCCTTAGATTACCCTGACAGTTGGGACCGGTCCTCTGTGCAGTTTCTGTAGAAATGAAGTCCAACAAATTCACCAGCACTTTTTCAGTTATTTGCGTGCTTAAGTCTTAATTCAATCCAAGTATGGAAATTCTGACACTGGGGTCACTTGAATTAGTGCTAGTGACTATGCAAGTCTCAAGCCTCCTGACTTAATGCAATCTGAGATGAAGCCTGCTAAAGTCAATTGCAATCATAAGATTTCTGATTGGGTTCCAACATAATTAAAGAGTAAGTTGTGCCAACATGCTTTTCCTCTATGTACATTTTATTACGAAACATAATTATGGTCATAGTGGATCTGCACTAATGCTTGAAACCAGCCCAACAGAAGCATTTTTAGTCACTTTTATGGTTATGTAGATAAGATGGAACCTTTAGTGTTTCAAAAATGCAATCAATGTTTATTTGTTGCTCATAAGTTATTCATGGACCCAACAATATTCAACAAAACTTCTTCATTTTTAACAGATTTCTTAATGAGTATCAATTTACAGAAAACCACCAACAAATAAATATATGAAAACAATTGCTTTTGACACCACAATGGTTAAACACATTAAATAATTCATTAAATTGTGCTTTACATCAATGAAAACCCCTAGGTCTACAAACTATCCTTTAAATAGGAATAAAAGTAGATATGGTTAGTCACAATACAATCTCTTAGTAGCAGAGTTCACACACATTATTGCACATAAACAGAAGGAAAATCCCTAAAGAATAAAATAATTTACAGTCTATTAATTTACCCTTTCATCTCAAATATGGCAACTGATGGGAACTCCTGATTTATTCATTTTCTCACTTCAAAGATTTATTTGAAATCACAGAGCTTGTGATATGGCCAAGAAAAACAAACAAAACAAAACAAAACAAAACAAATGAAGGATATTGTAGGAATCTATTTCTCTCCCCAAAATATTGAGAAAGTATTACAAGAACCAAACTACAGGAAGTGTTTCAATGCAAGCTGGGTACCTTTTCTGAGTATGCTTTTACCATGGGTAAGGCAGACACAGCAATCTACTCTATCAGAATAATTTTATTGTGGTTATTCATCTCAGGACCTCTTACAGGGTAATCTCCACCAACCTGGAAAATAGATATTCTCTATCCAATAAAAATAAATAAATAAATTCATGTGTATCAGAGGAACAGCAATGGTGAAGAAAAGTGCCAGTGAGATAACGAGTTTTATAGCATCAGTGCTCAGTACTGGTAGAGGACTGGATGTTGGACACAAGAACCCACCAGTGCCAAATGAAATGTGTTAACAGGAAGGCCAACTTGAGAAAGGGCCCCAACAACACACACTCACTCCCAGTTACTGGTACTTGAGCCTCTTGAAAATGTGTAGGAAACAAGACCCTCCTGGTAGAGGATGCCCACTCTGAAACACTTTCAGACTGAAGGGTGATGTGACTCGCCACTTGGTTTTGTTGAGTAGATACACTGAAGTTAGGAATTCGGCTGTGGATCTGACTTCCTTCAGTTTTTCACTCTCTACTTCTGTTTTGAGTGAACTGCAGATAAATACCACATACTGGGTAGAAGCCCTAGCAAGGCTATTCCAACCTCATTGTTAACACAACTGCAGTGAGTAATACCAAACACAAGAAACCATCTTTTTTTCCCTTTCCCCATGGTGAAAAAGCTTTTTATTGTTAGCACTGATGACTGGGGAAGAGAGGACAAATTTTCCTTCTCTAATAAAGTACGGCCCATAGGCAATAGGCCAAGTTCTTGGACTAGACATCAAATTACCAGGAACCCGTTTTAACAACACAGCATGTTTCTCTGTCTGCTCCAAGCCTACAGCAAATTATAACTGGAAAAGGCAGCCAGTGCTGAAGATGCGATGGGAGAGATTAGTACGTACATCTCCATTACAAAAGAATGAGATTTGTTTCAGCACCACAGTAGCAGAAGCCAAATTGCCTTGTTTAAGCAACAAAATAATGCCAGGAAGATGGACAGAAATCCTATAGCATCGCTGCTCATGAAGGTTTCAAAAGGAACACACTGCTCTCTGATCTTAAACAAGACACTGTAATTACAGGGAAGCCTGTGCTGTCAGAGCAATGAAGACCTGGAATAACAGAGATGTGAACCTTTATTCTGCTTTTAGGCTGCTTTTGCTCTACAATATTTTGGGTGCTGTGCCCGAGAGGAAAAAGCTGCAAGCCTGTGTGTTAGAAGAAGTCAGCCTGAAAGTATTTTAAAACTGCTTGATTTTTGATGTGCAGAGAATTTCTGCTAAGGACAGCAGCAGTGTTAGTGAAGGGAGTTTGCTGAATCTACTGCTGTAGCTGGGGTGGGAGCTGCTGGAGCCGTGGGCTTTGGTAATGGCAAGATCCCAGATGCTTGCTGCCCGTTCCTGCACAACCAGTGCAATTATGATACACAGGCTCCAGGAGAAAGAAAAAAAGAAAATAGAAGAAAAAAAAAAACACACACACACAACAAAAAACTTCAATTTTAAATAAATCCCAAGCATTAAGGCAAATCCTGTTAACATAGATGCTACAGCACATTAGCAGCTCTTCAGGACCCTAATCTCGTCTCCTGGGAAATGACTGACTAAAAGGTTAGGCATCACATTAAGGTATTGCCAAACTATTAAAGCTAATGCAAACCGCCCAAAGACTGCTTTGATTTTCCTCATTAGGTTTTGTTTTGTGTCATGCAGAAGGAATAGTCTGGAGAACTGTTGGTGTGCTTAGAGAGCTGAAACTGATACTAACAGCAACTGGTGAGGCTGCAGGGAACAATTTCTGCTCTCTCTCTCTCTCTTCTCTCCTGAAAAAATAATGCAGTGTTTTCAAAATGAAAAAAGAGGACCCTGTTGCTGTGAGCGGTGTGGAGAGGTGGCCTGTAGGGGAAAGAGGCAGGGACATGAGAAAAGGGACTCTCTTGGGTGCTTAGGGATGCTTTACAACAAAAGATGGTCTCGGACTGATTCTGCTTTCTTGTTTATCATCCTCCTTAATCCAAGTATGAGCTTGCATCTTTCATTCCATGCACTTGGTTTCTCTCCCACAGGCCCACCAGCAGCCCTGACTCCTGCCCAACCCATAGGGCCCTCCAGGGTCACCTCTGGCATCCTCAGCTCCCTGTGCTCACAGAGACAAAAAAAGCACCCACAAATCCTGGACATGGTGTATGGGGTGCCACAGGCTCCCATCCCCTCTCTCGCCACACAATCTGAAGCACAGGAGGAGATGCAGCAATGGGCCCAGGAATGTTTGACCAGCAGGAAGCCTCCTGCCCTCTGCAGGGCCAGGGCCAGTGCTGTGCTAAAGATGCAAGAGTACTGGTCCAGCCTGGCTCTTAGTGGCCCCACTGTCCCACAGACAGGACGTGCAGAGTGAGCTTTAGTCTCAGACTGTAAAAGTTTCAGTTCAAACCTCTGAACGTAGGTGTTTCTATGTGAGAAAGGAGCCTGAGCGCCTCTTCAAGGCAGTGGGGATCCAGTCAGAACGGTCAGGGGAGTCTTCTTTGAGATGGACATCCCACATTTGGGCAGCAGAATGGCTCTCTGCTGCCCTGTGTTTTCCCTTCTGAAGGCAGAGGTGGGAGGAGATGCATGTGATCCACCAAGGGAACAGGCATTAGAGCCCCAAACTCCCTGCTTACCACAAAAGTAGCACACTGGTGTAAAGCAGCGCTTTGCTAATAAACTACATTGATAATGAGGCATTGTCCCAGTAGCCTTCTTCACTTCTTAATATTCTTTACAATGTTCCATGTTTAACATATTATTGTATGCATTAACTCTCAACAGGATTGTTAGATCGTGTTTTTGATATTGTGCATAGATAAATAGCAATAACATTGTTGGAACTAAAAAAGATACAGCATGCACTAAAAATAACATTTTGGAAATGAAGGGATAAAGTTTCAAAATCAGCCTTGTTTTCTGCAACACATTAAAATGACTAGCTAAAACCCTTGAATTTTGAAAATAACCAAGAAATGTGCATCCATATCAGGTACTCCAGTATCTCTAATTAGCAAATCTGTAAGGTAAAAGCCATTCATGCATGCAATAATATACTTTCAGCATCTTGATTTAGCAGCCACATTGAGGCACTTAGAGAAATTTCCTCCTAATGCTTTAGATTTATGCTAGAAGAAGAAGGAAAAAAAATCTCTCAAAGATCTATGATGCAAAGGACCTTCTTTTTAAAATTCCACTACCACAAATGGAAACAAGAAAAAATCTCAGAATAAATAGATGCAGTTAAGAATGCAATGTGTGGAGGAAGAACCCATTGAATCTTTGTAGACAAGGAAGAAAAACAGATGCAGATCTCTCTTCATGAAAGCAATAAATTTACAAAGAATCTTCATACAGAGTAATAAATATCAAGTCTTTCCACATATCTATTATTTATCCTATAAAAATGAAAGCTGATTTTTTTTTTTAATATGTTGTAGCCACTACCATAGTTAGAGAGAAAACCAATTTAAATTGTGTTCACTTGGAATCAATGTACTTTAACAGACTATATCATAAACCTGCCTATCTTCACAGACAATATATCTCCAGGCTTTTAAAGCAAATCTGGATAATGTCACACTAATATTTAAGCTTTTCCTGCTCTCTCTTTCCTCTTCCCTGTAGTTTGCTGGGCCCCTCTTCACCTTTTGTGAATGTGAAGGCTTATTTCATTGCCGACAGGCAGGTAATATGGGCAATGTGTGCGCAGCTTCAGTGAGGACCTACCTTATTTCTCAGTTTTTGCACTCTGGCTTCCCCTTTGCCACACACACTCTGAAAGATGACTGCTACCTGACTGGGTTTGATACTCTTAACATCTGCAGAAAAATAAGTTAAACCCCCCACTTCACTTGCAAATCATCCCTGACTGAGGGCTTACAGAAAACAACAAGCACTGTACCAATCCCACATTTCCTAGGTCTTTTTTAATCAGCCCAGCAAATGCTTTCCTTAATCAAAACACAGCGTGTATAAGTTTGAAGGGCAGTATGTTTACCTCCATTTCATCCACTAGAAAGCTACACACTACAGTTGCAAAGGACAATATTAAATAAACCAGCTCGCACATCACAGAGGAACCAAAACAGATTATTTTTTTTTTTTCAATTTTGATTCATGCCTGCACAAGGTTTGGTAGCTCAGATTGTATAGGTTACATCTGTTAATGTCGTGGATATAGCTTTCTCTTCAACCCATTCTCATAGCTTAGGGCTTTGCAGGAAGTCTGTTTGGATAGGAATCTATTCTACTGCTATTTAATAACACTATTAATGCCTAGTTAGAAAAAAAAAATGTTCTCCTCACTGACAGAAACCAAGAAAAACTGAGACAAGGAAGGGTAGCTGTCAGATGCTGTCTCATTTACCAAAGCGGTTGGCCTTCCTTGGCTGATTTTCAGGTAGCCAAGTTACACAAAGTATGAGCCTCTGATCCTCTTATGGGTTAGTCAAGCTGGAGGAGCATCACCACCTTGCCACCTGGCTATTGTAATCTTCAGTAACGGCAACTTCTGCCACCTCTTCCCTTGGCCACTGATGAGCTCTCTGCTCCCGCAGCAGCCTCCGCTCCTCTCGCCTCTTTAGCCGGTTCATCTGATGCTCCTCTTGCTTGGAGTACTGGAAGCGCTGCAAGAACAGGTCCTTGGCGTATTCGTACAGCTGCATGTCCAAGAAGTTCAGCTCCTCTATCCGCTGCCGCACATCCTCACCGATGTCCACATTGGAGGCCCGCGTAACGTTGAACTGGGTGAAAGGGGAAATGAACTTCAGGTTGAATGTCCTCTCGAAGAGATACTGTGTTTTCCTCTGAAATTCGGTGAGGCCAAAGAAGGCCATGTTTTTCAGATTGTTCTTGGCGCTTTGGAGAAGAATCATATTCCTCTCGCTCTCGTTCATAAAAGTCAAGTTGTAACACCCCACCAGGCTGAGATCTGCCAGCATGCGCACCTGGCGGTTGTTGGCTAAGTTGTAGCTGCAGTCCATGAACTCCTCTAAACTGACTCCAGACCAGTCGTCGCCCTCGTAACAGGTAGGCAGCTCATCTGGTGTCGGGCTTCTTCCATCACACATATGAAGGGAAGTTTTCCATGTCGCGCCCCTCTGGACGTGCTTCCATTCACTCAAGTATCGTGACACCGGATCCCTCAGCATCGTGATGTAATAGAAGTTCCTGTAACATATCATTAAACACAGTTTTAAACACAGACTCAATGGTTTTCCCTTTTTTAGTCTCCGGTCAAATGATTACCAGTGACCACTACCACCACCCCCTTCATTTCTTCAACATAAGGTAAGTATTGAAAGCAACTATTTCTGAGATAGTAAAATGTTTAAAGCTTCATAAACCCTGTGAAAAAAATAATATGAGGTAGATTGGAAGAAAGAGAGAAATGAAAGGAAATAAACAGCTATCAGAGAAAAGTAGTTACTTTGACTTATCAACTGTTCAGTGCTAGTTACTTCGTGTAGAAGACAATTAACCAAAGTGTACTCCCCTCTACTTTAAAATGAGGACGGTACTATCAGGAAAACTGGAAAAAAGTGATTTCTATAATCTCGTCACTTTCCTTCTGGACTGTGACATGTGTGTACAAGATGATAATCCATACAGCACTTGGTCAGAACATACGAGAAGCACGGGCAATACAATGTGGATGCTGCAAGTGCTAAAAATAACACCATGTGGAAGACTGGCATGAGCCACCTACTTAAGAAGAACACTATTATTAAATGGGCGGGAGTGAAGATAATGAGAGGCCCCAAATCCACTCACGTGACTTAATTTTAGACAAGTGGTTGATTGAAATTAGTTATAATCATGTAGTATAAAAGCATTTGTTGATATAAAGATTATCATTATTCAACCTCACCTGTCAAGAATACAAAAGAGACACTAAGAAATATTGATTTGAAATAGAGCAAATAACTGCAGCACTCACATTGTCAATTTGTCTTTTAGCTCTTGAATTGAATTTGTACATCTATTTATGGCAATCTGAAATGGACTGCAATTGACTATGGTTCAAACAGGATTTTACAGATTGCAATTTTTACAGGGAAATGTTTTATACAATAACAACTAACCTAAATTACAGGGTGATATCATAAGGACAAAACAAAACCAAAATACTTATGATTTCTGTCAGCTAGAATAACTAGCAGAAGATTAATGACTAAAATTAACACACGGAATGGTACAAAAATAAGCTCATGAGTTTGTGTGACTCATCTGACTGCAAACAATACATTAATAAATCATGAATCCTAAGATTTCTTAAGAAAAATCTGATCTAAATATTCTTCTTTAAGCCTAGTCAAGGATGAAGCAAATAAGCAGGAAGCAAGCTTGCTCAAGACAAGTTACACTGGAAATAAACCATCACTTTGTGAGGGGCATCTTATAACCAGTTAAATGAAAATTCTTAAAACTACTAATAATCTCCAAGTCCAATACCCTTCCTTTTCAGGTATCACCCATTTTCTACCACTCCAGATGGTAAATAGTTTTTCCATAAACCTTGGGTTTGTCATTAAGATAGACATGTCCCCACAATTTCCTAAAATGCAGATATATTCCCCAGTTCGGACAAAGCAAAAGGAAACAGAGCTGAACACTTTGTCCTCATTCATTTTGAGTTCTTCACCTAGAGGATATATAATATACTTTCTGGGATAAGATTATGAAGCCAAACTATGGACTATGGTCTGCTGCAGGATCATTTCTTGAATTACTATCTAATGGAAATGGTTGTTTCAAAAACTATTTCACAGTAGAAAGGTTACAGGTGGAGGGATATAAACTAGGGAGTGCTATAGATATATTTTATTATCACTTGCAATTGGGAGCCGTGATTTTTGTTAATTTCAGATGATACCCTAAAGGATGACATTTCCAAAAAAAATGGGACTTGGGTTTTCTGGCTACACATGATCAAATTGTACTTCAGCTGTTTGGACCCACTTCAGTTATTTACACAGCTCACGTCAACAGAGAACTCAAGGACTGTGCAACCATTCCATAGAGAGAGATTACTTAAATACCTCTTCACTACTCCTGCAGAGTAGGAAGCACCAGAAATCCTCCTGTGTGCTCCAAAGTATAGCTCCACTATGAAAAACACCGTCTTTATGTACTTCAAGCATGGCTTTCCTGTCTCAAATTGAATGCCCATCTCACCTTGACTCTATGATGCATGTATGAGAGCACATTAAGAATTGTTTCCAAACAATAGAACAAAAAGCGGACATTTCACTGGTATTGTGCAGATAAAGCAGCCAAACTCTCAAAACACCCATAAACTCTGAGTATAAGACATTGTTATTGTAACATCCAGCAGGCACTGACAGGACTATTGTAGACAATGATTGAGGATCCAGGCAGCAGACATGAAAAAAATGGACAAAAATGCAGGGACAGTTGCCAACATCTGTACCAATGAAGACGAAGCATTGGCTTAGTCCTTATATTGGTGCCTCTCACCTCTTTGGATAATTTTAGATGTGAATATGTGGTAACAGATGTATTTAAAAGTTGCTCTCAACAATTATTTATACCTCTAATAACATTTCTGTCTTTCCTCTCCCATCCCTAGCAGTCCCATTCAGGCATGACTCAGAGCAACAGCAATTAACAAAAATATCTCCTTTGCATCAATCATTTCCATTTCATGCCTGGATATGTAAATGCCTTTGATGTGCAATAAACAGGAATACGAAGCAAATGCAGGGAAATGAGAGGAGTGTGTCTTTGTGTGACTTCCGCAGCTTCCCTTCAGCAGACTGGGAAAGAAACTTTCACCTGCCCATTAATGCTTCTCCTCGTAACTACCTGAATTCTGCATCTGGCTCTGCTGTCCTGATCAATTTCCTTCTTATTTGCGTATCTTGCAGAGTGCTGCCTCCTTGTGTTAAGACTGAATGGCTTCTTTATCTGGAAGGAAATCTTCACCAGCAGCCCGATGCACATTTCGTTCCCAAGGCACTAACAGTGCAGCTATCCACACCACGTTCACACTTCACAACCTTCCATTTAACCTTCTGCTCATGACTTTCCATCACCTTTTCTATCACCTTTAACAAACCTAAGGTTGGAAGGCCTTAGATTACTTCCACCTAATCCTAGGTTACACTGTTAGAAAGCTACACAGACGAATAGGGGGATGCTGCCCAGCACTCACAGCACTGCTTTCACTATTATTTTTATTTTTTTTTCAGTGAAAAGGATGTCTTTTCTGTAGAATAATGATATAAATAAAAATACATGGGTTATGCACATTCGTTTCAGTTGGAAAATTACCAAAATTATCTCAGGAAACTGTTGACATTTATGGGTTAAAGAGAGAGGCATTTCAGAGCTCCCAGTGCATAATATGCAGTTTTCACTCAGACTTGGAATGGCTGAGGAGTCAGCTCATAATAAAGACAAGAAGCAGTTCATTAAAAAGTGAAATGACAGGTCGCCTTCCATTTCCCCTTTCTTCCCTATTCAGTAGAAGAGCATCAAGTCAACTGTACATTGAGTGTGCTTGAGCCAGTCTGAATACAGACGTCCACTTATTCTTGTCTGTGTAAACGTCCTCCTTGCTTCAGGCATGCTCCTGATTATATGGCTGTGTTAAACTCCACAGGTAGCCACTGGGGGAAATACTCAGGAAAGAGCTAAGTGTTGGCTTCTGTTTCCTTGGTTTGACAAAGCTAACTCATCACAGACTTCTTGGCTTCATTTCAATGGACTTCTATCATTGATTACTCAAACTGTTGCCACAGACAGCTTCAGTGTTTAAAGACTACCAAGCAGAATATGCTAGCATGTCAGCGAGAAGATATTTTACACAAAACCTTCCAAATTAATTAAAAACCATGCAAATTATATATATATATATTTACACGTACATATATATAAGCATGGATGCGTGTGTGTCCATGTGCCCACATCTGTGTGTGTAAAAATTCATATGGCAATCCAGCATAAGCTGCTGTGGTCAAGGAATGAAAAATCACAGTAAGTGCAAGTGGCAAAATGGCCACTTCAGGATGGTTGATTTTTTGGACGGGATGCTAAGCAGCATGGTGGTCAGACTTAGTAATCCTTGCAATAGCCTAGTCAAGATAGTGCGTGCAGCTCACAGAAGGTGCCTGCAGAGAGAATCCATGAGAGACCACAGCCACAAACTGAGCACCAGGGTAGTTCCTATTAGCTCAAGAAGATCCATATCTGAAATAATACTATTTAAACTGGAATTAGAAACCACCTGGAAATTCAGAAGGCTCTAGTCCCACCGGTATGAAATCCAGTCTCTTCATTAGCATTAGGGGAGAAAAAGAAAAAAACAAAACCCACAACCCAAACCTTTAATTAATAGAACAGATAAACTGAGCTTCTAGTTATAACCCAAGAACACGTATTTCTTTCACATTATAAGGTATTTTAGTATAAATACTCTAATCTTACATTAATCCTTCAATAGTATTGCCTGGATTTAGAAATTCATTTCAGAGGAGCATATTAGTAGGGGTGATCCCAAACTAGGGCATTTTGCCTCTTCTATCACCACGGAACAGACATCCCAGCTGAGGCAGATTTACTAAACATGTGAAGGATCACCACGCATTGAGAACAAAAACATCCTGTAGGGCCTCCTGGGGAAGAGGATGAATGACATCTTCCCTGGCACTCTTGCTCTCGTGTGGAGCAGCCAGCACAAGGAGAGCTCACACTGCACTTGTGGAGGCTCAGAGTGGGGGAAAAGCGAGCTGCCCCCTCTTCATTTGAATACTGAGGCAGGGCCTTGTGTGTAAAGAGTGATGAGTTTCACAAAGGAGAAGAGCATGCTCACAGCAGCTGGTGCAGGGATGGAGGAATATCTGAGGTGGAGAAAAAGGCGGTCACTGCAGAATATTTGGTGAGATGCTAACAGCCAGAAGAAAGAAGAACCAAAATGACTGAAAAGCCCAGGTCCATCATAAAGACATCCACGTTGTGGTTTTTCCTGGTAGCCGGGAAAATAAAAGCCCTGTTCAAGTTTATGACCTGAGCTGTTATGAGAAGTTAGCAGCTTTAGTCCTGGAAGTGGGTGTGCTCCCATGGCAAGTTCTGAAATGCCCAGCAAAAGCCATCCTGGCTGTATGTACAGACTCCCTAAGCAATGCACTGTGCACATTGACTACTGT